TTTTTATTGACATTAGAATATAAATGGAATCAGGGACTGTTGACAATAAAAGTTCCCACCTCATGAAATGAATCAGTTTTTTTGTATACAATTAATAATAAACAATATAGTGAATTCATTTGGTCATAATATCAGATGCATAATATTCTATGATTTTCAAAGCGATGTGAACGTATTATGAAAATTATTTTCAGATTCAGTTTCTGTTAGAAATTTATGTAAGCTTAACATGTCGTTAGGAGTTACATCCAGTTACCTTAGCCGGATTTCCGGAAAAAGTAAGTTAATGTAGAAAACCTATAACTTCGTGGTTTCATGATTAAATGTCCAACTATTAGGTCGTAGGTTCGAAATTCAATTTATCTGCCGGAGCACGAATGACATGCTTTGTAAAAATTCCACACATTAGAAGATGGACAAGAACAGAGATTTATAGTCTGTGATCCTTTAAAACAATCCCGAAACTATTAGAAATTATTAAACTGAAAACATTGAATTGTATTGAAATCATGAACCGATCAACGTAAGACCACTATATAAAACCAGGAAGAACTGAACAGCCGTTCCGTTCAAGTACGAGACTCCTTACGATTCCGAGAGCAGGACTGGGCTCGGTTATGAACACTTAGTCTCTAGGTCACTGAGCCGGCATACCACGGTGTTGCTGTGGTGTGTGCTACTGATGTCGATAGATATAAGTAGTATGTATCATAAACCGAAAGTGAGATGCATGGGGGCAGACCAAAGAGAAGAGAATGATTTCTGTGGAAATGAAGGAACAGTGAAGTCCAAGACGATTGGTTGACATTCGCAAAAGGAACAGTCAAGTTTGAGACAATTGATTGACATTTTGCAGATTAAGTATTTACTGTATGGTTCTCAGATTTTGCTAAGACGATCTGTAATTTTGTTTTCAAATACATCCGATTATCCTCACTTGTGATCTCGTTTATTATATTACCTCTCGAAGTCCTAGTTAAACGTTTGCGCGTGAACGAAGGTACTGGATCTCAGCTCTATGTGCGGGATCGCAGTTGCACACTGCTTAGGAGTCTCATACTATGACGAAACGGCAATTTAGCCCTTCCAGGTTCTGAATAGTGGTCTAATATTGATCGGTATGTGGTTTTAAAAAATTCAATAATCTCCGTGACCCCTTACTATAAATACTGCAGCTTAAAGCTAATTTCTTATCGATCGACTGTAAACTAGTTAGCGAGAAGTATAAATGAAGTCAGAAGCAGGATTGTGTTGTTAATGTTCGTATTACCGAAACCAAAAGCAACATTACATAAAAGTTTACTGTAATGTACTCCGATTTGTCTGAACACACCTTGTTTAACTATTTAGTTTATTTCTCAATTTCTAGACTTATCGTTTCATTTATCTTAATATAATTATATTTTTTTACTAGCAATGCTTTGTCTAATCAGTCACTCAACTGCAACGTAGGACCAGGCACATATATGCATCGGTCCAAGTTGCCATACCTCATTAGCACAACAAGATGAACACGGAACTGATAGTAGTTAATTTAATGGTGGTAATATATAAAAGAAAGATTGTATACAAGGATATAATACAGGAAGAAAGACAGATATAAAGCAATTTATAGTTTAAGGGAAGACAGAGAGTGTATACATCTACGCCATTGTGATCAATTCTGAGTCATGTCAGAGTCTCCAACTAATGGTTACGATAGTCACACAGACCATAACCAAATAGTCTGCATCTATCAAAATGGCTCAGACCAGAGGTTAATGACTTCAAGCACTGATGCCATGTTTTGGTTTGGCCGCCTCTAACTCTCTTCCAACCCATCCTTAATACTAGCTACCATTGCGCGTCGTGGTAATCGGTGTTCAGACATACGTAACACGTGGCCCAACCATCTCATTTGATGAAGATTTATAACCTCATCATTCCATAATACCTAGATATAGGGTATTATTACTATCACTATTACTTATCTGGTGATCCCAGCAGATGCGAGCAACATTTCTAAGACATCTGTGATCAAATACCAGTAACTTACGAGCATCTTCTACTCTTTATGGCCACGTTTCGCAGCCTTAAACAAGAACAGAGCGAACTGCTGCCCAGTATACTCGTCCCTTAAATGATGGACGGATATCTTGCCTTCGTCATAGGTCACGTAAATTGGCAAAAACCAAACTAGCTTTTTGAATATGTGCAGAGATTTCGTCAGACACCAACCCAGACCAGACTATCAAGATAAGTGAAGTTGTCGACGCGTTCGATTACTTCACTCTCTATCCTTAGTTTAGGTGTTGACGCAAGCTAGTCCTGGAGTAACAATTTACATTTAGAGGGAGAGAAACGCATCCCAAACATCCTAGCATTATTACTCAGTCCTAACAGAAGACTCTGCATTTTATCAGCGTCTTCACCAAACAGGATTATGTCATTTGTGTATTCTAAGTCGATAAGTGGACCTCCTGGAAGGAGATCAATTCCTGAAAATTCAGACGATGAGAGCGCTATTTTAGCAGTAGGCCTATGATGAAATGGAACAAAAATGGTTATAGTGGACAGCCTTGACGGACACCACTTGAGGTTGTAAAATTAGATAATAGTTCGCCATTAACTCTGACTCGACTGCTAGTGTTCGAATAAATTGTCTTCACGAGGTTTATGTACTTCTTAGGTACACTTTCAACACAGAACCTCTCGGTCTATAGAGTCAAATGCTGCTTCTAAGTCAAGAAAATCTATCATTAACTGACGCCAATAAGCATGCCTGTGTTCTAAAACCTGACGAATAGTGAATTTGTGGTCGATACAGCCACGATCAGGTGTGAAGCCAGCCTGATTTTCTCGTGTTTGGAGTTCACCAGTCTTTTTTAGACGTTCAATAATTGTTGAGGCTGGTATTTTAGATGCCATATTAGTCAGACTAATCACTTGATGGTTATTACAGGATGATTTTGACCCCTTAGGACCAATCAGAGATTGTGACCAGTTGAATGGGATCCACCTGGACCAGCTACTCTTCCTCGTTTCAGATTAGTTATAGTTTCTGGGGCTTTAGCTAGAGTTGAGGGACCAACTTTAACGTTCTATTCAGACTGTTTAGGATGGGTGGGTAACTACAGAGTAGCTGAAGGTCAGCTAAACTACTCTCCAAAGTGTTCCGCCCATCGTTCTAAACGTTTGGGTTGAGAGCAGATAAGGGTTCCGTCCTTTTCCGAGATTGTCTCACTTACACTTGACTTCTTAATTCCGGTTTCTTTTATTAGTCTGAATAGTTGCCTGGTGTTCCCTACAACCGCTGCCTTTTCCATCTCTTGCTTTCGTTGCCCACCACTGCTCACGATCGTTCCTTAGACTTTTAGTTAACCTAGATCTAATCTGTTTACGCTCTTCGTCGTGTTCAGAGCCTGATGGGATGAGTTTACGCGAATCCATCAGTGAAATAGACTTAGAAGAAATCCATTGGTTTTTTGGAGCCCTATGGTTTAAATTACTAATAGATGTGACTGCTGTTTCCACAGCTGTTCATCTGTCTTTCCAAGCAGCATCTGGGTCAGTCTCGTTTATAGAACTGCCTAGATGTGAACTCAGTTGTTTCTGGAATTTACATTTGGATTTCTCGACCTCCAGTTCAATCCTAATGGGTCTTCTTAGTGTAGTTTTCCTGCGTCCAGTGAGGCGCAGACAAATGCGTGCTCGTATTAAAGCGTGATCAGAGTAGAAACAAGTATTCCTATACGAGCGACAAACTTCTATCGAGCCTCTCCAACGATGGCTGATGGCAATATGGCCTATTTGAGTCCATCGTTAGTTTCGTGCAGGTGGTCGCCATGTTAGGCGATGTCTCTCCTTATGTTTAAAGTTAGTGTTTGCTAAAAAACGATGCCTACCTGGGCATTAAAGTCACCTGCTACGACTACTATGACTGAGCGCTTAGCTTTCTGAAGAAGCTCAGAGAGCTTTCTGTAAAAGTCATCTTTCACTTCATCATGACTGCAGTCAGTGGGAGCGTATGCAGAAACGACGAAAAGGTAACGATGTGTGTCCTTATCTTTTCGATTTCTTACGGAGCTGTTTAGTCGAACAGAACATAGGCGACTGTTAACGGGGATTCATTTTAACAGTGCTTGTCCTGCACTCGTACCATGTGCTATGCCTACACGTGCAAGTCCACGAGAACAAGCCATCGGGACGCCAGATACACGGAGGGTGTATCTCGTTGGTTCTCCATTTTGGCGAGGTGAGGTCAAGTGAATGACCACACTGGGATCCTGTATGCGTGTTCCGGAGACACAGCATACATAAATAGGGTTCGTCCTTTGAAGGCTCCAATGTGTAGTTTGGAGCGAAGTCGCAGTAGACCTGGGAGTGTTTTGCTCACTGAATTTGGGTTAGAAATGTTCTTAGTGACATGAGAGCGTGACCACAGTGCCTAAGGGACAACTGCTTGAGGTCGGTCACACACGACCATTTTGTGACTAATTTTCCTGTTAGCTCCGTACGTGCTGGGACCTCATCGCCGAAGACGGAAATCCGTGGGAAAAGGCGAGGTGTGCATTTCCAGGGTCGATCTTTTCTAACCCCACCCTTCCTTATGGTAAGACAGCATCGCTGTCATGTTGGTTGTCTGAAGGAAACACCTTACTGCCGTCACACCTCTGTACAGTCAGCAGTACGACTTCGTCTTTGGACCTTGGGTTTGGTGCTTTTAGTCTTACCGCCCTTCAGCCGACCTGTCTGGTATGGTAGGACCGTAAGGAACGATTGTTCCAGCCAGTAGAGCTCGATTGCTTCATCACGATAGGCAAGCCGACCACCACGTCAAGGTAGCAGCAACGGTCGGGTGTGACGACATGATATATAAACTGTGAAAGGAAACCCAAAAAATATTGAATTCAAAAACTAACCATTTTGATTACAAAAACATCTGTAAAAAATATGGAAAAACTATAAATATATATCACCCATGCATTTCGAGGAATTACAAAAGCATTTCAAACATTAAGTCAACCAACAGATGATAAAAGTCCGGACTCCAAAAATTCTTTTGTACTTAATACAGGTTCAACTGTATAACCAGTTAAAAGGTAACCGTTTGAACATGACATATTAATTTCAGGATGCGTTCTCTCTGGTAATACTTGAATATGACGAAACCAACTATCGGTTAAACGAAGATGCGTTATTCCACCGCGTCGTTTTAAAATATTGTACAGATCAACAAGGGGCTATAGTGAAGTAAAAGAGAATGATTCAAATACAAATTAATGTTGTATTAGTGAATCAGGTAAAGCATAATTTCCGAAGAAATGAAATCAACTAAACTAAGATATTCAAACAGATAACAGACCCAAATATACGATTAAAAGAAATAGTCTGATAATCTGACTTTCAGTTACCTTTTAACAAAGTCAAAAGGCAATAGAGAGTTTAAATCAATTGTTTGTATAAGGGATTGATAGAGATTTTCAAATTTTCTTACTTTATATTACAGACTGACAGGTTGAACAATTATCAGAAATCAGAAAGCACTAGACAGCTGTTGCGTGCTAGTATGAGACACCGTGGTAACGCGTTCCCATTATCCTTTCGACGATTAAACCCAGGACCTTTAAGTTTCGCCGTAAGTGTTTAACCTTTGGACCATTGAGTTGGCATCGAGTGGTTTACATTTCTTATTTAAGTCAACTCCTGTTATTGAGAAACTAACATTCATGCCATTAGTGGGTACCTTAGTCAGTAATGTAAACCACAAAAGCAATTAGTCTTAAGTATAACTACTTGAATTGAACCGTTCATTCCGTTTCGTTAGATTTACGTAATAGAACTTTGTGCAGCGAATTGATGATTTTTAGTGATAGTGTTCATTATGTTACGTTATGTTCATTATATTAACTCTTCATGGTATAGATAACTTGGCTTGTCAACTTGGATTGCTAAAGCCTTTTTTCACACTATCAATGTTTGATAGCAATTAAAGATTTGCTTGTTTAGGAAATCGCTCAATGATCGAACACTTTACAGGTCATATAAGCAGAATCCATAAACTTTGATACCTGTGATTATTTTCCAAATGTTTTTTGGAAGTCATTTATTTTAACCTCAGGAACATCCTTATTTCTAGAGAATTGAGAAACCGAAACATTTTCAGTATATAATAATAATAGAAATCATCTCAGCGATACAAACAGATTCATTGTTTACTTGTATATATTGTGTATAAACTACAAATGGTCGTCCAATAGGCAGAAACTGAAGTAAGGTTAAAGTTAAATCGACCGGATGAAATCGAGTAACGATGACAAGTGAATCAGGTGTAGGACGATTATTTCCAAAAATTTGATTGAATGAGGAAATGTAATATTCACTGATTTTGGATTGTCTTGGTGCATTTTGGTCTATTGAAAATAAAGAAATAGTTATCGGTTTACTAACAACAAAACTTGGTTACTGGAAAATAACGTTTGAACTTAATCATATTTGATATTGGCTAACAATGGAAGTGAACCGTGTTCTGTTTGGGATTATCACAGTTTAATTTGACTGGATTCTAAAGGGATAAGCAGATTTGAACGTAATAAAAACACTTTAATTCATTAAAATACTCGAAACGACGAGTTTCCTACAGACAAGTATGCAGAAAATCCAAAGAGCTCATAATAAAGAATTATAACCAAACATGTATTAGTTAAATAGAATTCAGTGTTAAAATTTGTTCCTTAAGTAACATTGGTGTGGAACAGGTTATCAAGCTGGTAAGTCTGTTATAATACGAGGAAAGTAGTAAATAATAACAGGCAAAGTGAACAAACATAGAAGTGCAGATTTCGTGTTTTAAATCATCGATGAAGATGCCCAGAAGACCTGTTATTGGGACTAATCGAAGCCAAAACTAGGCAAACGATTTAAAATGACTAACAAAATTACGATAAACTTTCGAAACAACCTGCAGACTAGTAGAATAGTATATCATTTCTAATTTGGTAGATTTTTCTTATACTTTGCAGCTATCAATGATGGCACGTAGATTATACCTTGCATTTTAGAAATTATAATCTTTGACAAAAGACGGAGTATAATAACTACATCTTGAGATGTTTTGAAAAGTCAGATTGGTTCTTGGTTATACATGCTAACTTATTAAATTTCAAATTTAATTATTTAATATAAAACTTTCCATTTTTATATATCGTTACATAACATACTTTCAATCTGAGCTATCTCCTCAGAAGAAATATCCTCATCGATTTTACGAATCTAAAAAGAGTAAAAGATCAAGAATGTTTCAAGGTTATTTTAACTACGGTTACGATGTAAATATGAAAGAATTCATTGGTCATAGTGAACTGGAAACGTAGTTATTTATTAGGTTATGATTGGATTTACCAACGCGAACTAGAGTCGAATTAAAAAGTATGGTTCTAAAAACACAGAAATTGAAGTTAGACAAGCTAAGTGAAATCAGATTTTACATTGAATAAAAAATATAAATGAAAAAGGTGTTATGAAAATTTAGCATTAGATAGTTGTTTCAGTGTCGAAAATGCATGGACATTTTATCCATAAGGATTTAGCTCGGGAGTTATGCTAACAAAATACTGAGTTGAAATAAAAATGGAAGTATCTAGTGTTTTGCATGGGTTTGGATGAAGTCAAATGGTTTTTAGTGTGAATCAACCATAGAAACTGAAGGATTAAGAGGTCTGAAGATCATGAACCTACAAAAATATAGTAGCTATCTCATGAACTGAATGACGTAAGTGCAACCAGACTAAAATCCATTTACTGACAGAACTAATTAATAAAAAAAATTTAATAGTCTGTTGTCAAATTTCATAGCCTAGTATAAGCTATCAAAACTTGTCTGAAGTTTCTAAACCAAAACGTCCCAAGGATTTTTTTTTCTTACCTAAGAATAATCCCTAAAGTTTCATGAGTATCATTTACGAAATATTTAGCGCGAATGAAACTCGAAAATAGGTGAAGAGTTCATGTTAGAATAATAGACTGTTATTTATTCGATATATACGGCATAATAAGTAGTGGTTTGAATTTAGAGTATGTAATACACAGATTGCTTGGTTTCAAAAATGGCACATCTTTTAACCTATCAAACTAAATAACTGCTTATTAAGTAGACGCTATGCAATATCATCTGAAAAAACAAAAGAGAACAGTTTAAGAGCTAAAGAGTGGACGAAACATTAACTGTTATGTTGCATAGCTAGCATTTCCAGTTTACTTTGTGATGAAGTTTATGTATAAGAAAAGTTTGTACAGCGAAGTACACTATGATTACTTACTTTAGACGAAATTTGGGAATTGCTGTCATCCACATGATTGCCCACAAAATCGTGATCGGTGTCTAAAGTAGCTTTGTATAACAAGATTGGTAATACATCTAATAAACGAACAGGATGAACCTAAAGCAAAATAAGTTTTAAACATTATAAACACTTATAAATAAATAACCGTCAGTTTTGCGACTTGATTAAACGATCTTTAATAGCAAATACGCCAAATATTGGTTGACAGCTAACAATAACGGAATGTGTAATCACATTTCAACGTAGGAGTTACGTATACAAATAATTAGACCAATAAATAAGTATTTATTTGGTTCTTAAGCAAAATCTGTCAATCATACGCGGAATTTAATTGAAGCTTAAAGGAGAACTATACAATCTAATATGGATAAAACTTGAATGTTGGTCACTAGTGATTCAAATTGAGCAACACAGAGTTTTAAACCAGATAAATCGGTGAAAGATATGTAGCCTAACCTTTCCAGGTCATTAAATGCTCAGTTTCCAGAACTGGTTACGATGGTAGGCTAGCCGGGCCATTCTTAGGCCATAAGATATGAAAAAGTTAAAAATGTATTCGGTTGATGTAAATTGTAGAATTTTTAGTGAGAACTAACAAGATAAGCTTCCTATGCTCGCTAAACATTGTTACGAGGATCGAGACCCAATATGTTAGTTTTACAATGACTGTTTTCTCTGAACTATTCAAGATTATTGAATACTCCGCATTACGAAATGCCATTACCAAAGAACCTTTTGACTTGATGGTTAGAACACTCAGTTTTCAACCAACAGGTTAGCGACTCGATTTCTATTTCAACTACTTCGGTTTTGGCAGTTGCGTAGTAGTATTGCAAACCCGTATGCCAATAACATGACCCAAAGCCGAGTATGTGAACGTTTTTATGATAAGCATAAGGTGACTTAAGGACTAGATTTGCAATGTAATGTTAGTGTGGTTACAATTGATTGAACCTCGAGTAGTAAGTAGTTTCACGTTTGTTTAGTCATTTGGGGCCCATTGAATTTTACCAATTAGATTCCAGTGTGGTCATTAGTTTAGGTGACTACACATTGAATTCGTGAAAGAGCAACAGTTCCCTCAAGATTACGCCTTGATGATTACCAAGCAGTATTAAACTTAGGTTCAGGGTTTTCAGCTGACCACCTACAACTAGCTAACAAAGTTAATGTGGATCTGTTATTATGTTCAAACGATTAAGTGCTTTTCATATCAGTAGTTTGACTATTTCGAACATCAATATCTAAAATGTTATAGTCTGGTTATTATCTCACTTCAGAAACATAGGTTTACACCTATCTCCTAATTGAAGATGCAGCATAGAAAAACCTACATTAAGATAAATTGTTTACTTTTACTGAATGAACTGTAAAGTAAAAAAATCACACTTTTTCACTGTACGAATTTCCATAAACAGGACTAATTTCTGATTTCGGAAACGATGAACCATGGTAAAATTGAATCACAGATCCTTTTGGTTGATCTATGCCAATACGCTCAAGTACAGCAGCTGTGATGAGTCCAGAACAAGTTTCACAAAGAAGAACAGTTGATCCTGCATGAATATTAGCATAAGACAGGATACGACATACTGTATCAAAACGCAGTCCACTGGAAAACGAAGAAATATATACAGTGACAAAAATAAATGTAATGATTTATTTATTATTATTATTATTATTTAAACACATAAATATTGGTACAAGGAAGCACCAGATACATATGCGCCATACAAATCTTATTCGATTTGTGTGAGGGCTGTGATACTGCCCAGGTGCCCGAACTGAAGCAGGTGGTTTTCTTAGGGGGCCACACCCCAAGCCTTTGACCGAAAGATCTGATCCACAAGGCAGTGGAGCATCGTGAGGAGATGCAGTCTCATGGTAGCCGTCGACCAATGACAGGTTCGTCCGCCATTCGTTCCATCAGGATACTGGAGCCCATGTGCACCATTGGTTTGGAATCAGGGTTTTCCAACTCCCCTAGGTGGACGCGCCTTGTCCACCAACCCGGTTAAAGCGCCGGACATTCGTTTTTCGTCCTCTCACTTTCGTAAACAACACCTTTGCCACGAGAAGGCAGTGAGTAGGACTTCCCTGGCAGAGGCTATATATTTGCTGGCCATGTGAGAGCATTTCGGGAGGGAGAGTGGACTCTCCCAACTCTCGGCCCTACCAGGGCATTTGGTTGGAGATCTTATTTATTAATTATTTGAACACATAAATATTGGTACAAAGGGGCACCGAATACATATGCATCACACAAGTCACTTGATTTGTGTATGGGCTGTGATACTGACTGGGTGCCCAGGCCGCAGCAGGTGGTTTTCTTAGGGAACCACACCCCAAGAATTTGACACACGTATAATACACAAGGCAGTGGAGCAACGTTAGAAGATGCAGTCTCATGATAGTTGGTCACCAACAGTAGGTTCATACGCCACTTGTTCCCTCAGGATAATGGAGCCCATGTGCAACATTCCTTTGGAATCATGGTTTTCAAACTCCCATCAACCTGGTTAAAGCACCGGATATTCTCTTTTCGTCCTCTCGATTTCGTAAACAACATCCCCTCCGTGAGAAGGCAGTGAGTAGGTCTTTCGTGACAGTGGTTGTACACACGACCATGTGAGAGCATTTCGCGAGAGAGCTGAATCACCCTACCCTCGGCCGTACCAGGGCATTTAGGGGCACACTAATCGATTCCCTGATATTAAGTAAATCCGTTTGCACAATAAAATGATAAAGTAAATAAACAAAAAGCTCAGATAGTTTGAGACAGAGAACTAAATTACTATACTGTCAAGTTGTATGTGTGATCAACGTTTGTTCAGCTCGTCCGTACATTCATTTATATAATATATTTTAAAGCTGATTTTAAACCGTTTGATCACGTCTTCAGTTTTGCCACTAGAGTAAGAAGGGTTGGTGTTGGATTCCACAGCAAAACGTTTTTGCCCCCAAATTCCCTGGTACGGCCGAGAGTGGGGAGAGTCCACTCTCCCTCTCGAAATGCTCTCACATGGCCAGCGAATATATAGCCTCTGCCAGGGAAGTCCTACTCACTGCCTTCTCGTGGCAAAGGTGTTGTTTACGAAAGTGAGAGGACGAAAGGCGAATGTCCGGCGCTTTAACCGGGTTGGTGGACAAGGCGCGTCCACCTAGGGGAGTTGGAAAACCCTGATTCCAAACCAATGGTGCACATGGGCTCCAGTATCCTGATGGAACGAATGGCGGACGAACCTGTCATTGGTCGACGGCTACCATGGGACTGCATCTCCTCACGATGCTCCACTGCCTTGTGGATCAGATCTTTCGGTCAAAGGCTTGGGGTGTGGCCCCCTAAGAAAACCACCTGCTTCAGTCTGGGCACTTGGACAGTATCACAGCCCTCACACAAATCGAATGAGATTTGTGAGGCGCATATTTATCTGGTGCTTCATTGTACCAATATTTATGTGTTTAAATAAATGAATTATGATCATTATTTTTGCATAATGGCGGAACACCCCACTGTTAGTTACCGATTAAAATAGTGGGTCACCATTTCGTCGACCGACCGTTGCTGCTACCTTGACGCGGTGGTCGGCTTGCCTATCGTGATGAAGCAATCGAGCTATGCTGGCTGGAACAATCGTTCCTTACGGTCCTACCATGCCAGACAGGTCGGTTGAAGAGCGGTAAGACTAAAAGCAGCAATCCCAAGGTCCGAAGGCTAATGTGGTATGGCAACTCGAACTGATGTACGTACGTACGAAGTTCTACGTTGTAACTGACTGACTGACTGACTTGTCGAAGTAAGATTTCGACACATGGTTTGTTGTGCCTTCTTCAAAATCATCGACCAACATACATCAGAATGTCAGATATCTGCTCTGGCTCAGATATTGTTTAGTAAAATTGTAAAAGAATGTATCTGAATGACACAATCACCGGTCAATACCGTGGTATTTCAAAGAATCTGGCACTTCTGTACACTAATACTATAAATAACTATCTAACTGCCCGATAATCAACTAATCTCACACCTATTAAATTCAGTTGCGCCTTTACCTAACGTGGTAATGAAGTTAACTAAGTTTAACCCGTACTAGACAGTTTACTAGAGAATCAAACTAGAATACATTTATAGCTAAAATAAATGTTACTCACACCAGTTAACCACAGTAAATACAGCTTTATTCACACAAATGTTATCAAACTAAGGGGATGGTTTAGAGTTCCATAAAACGAATATAAACAATTTTAACGAATCGAATGACAAACAAAAATCGGTGACTTACAGACACTTTTCTGGGCGAATATTATTGTATATTTCAAAACATATGCGTGCTTTAGGCTTTTCAACTGAGAATAAACCCAAGTGCCGATCTTTCTTTCTCTTGAGGTACTTTTGTTGAGAGAATGGTGTTTTTTGTTCAAAATTTGAGTTGCCTTCTACTAACTGGTCTAATATATCCTACAAAGTAGTCAAAAATTTATCTTCACTACTTGTCCTGAAACACCATTGAGACGCAATTGTTCGATATAAGAACCAGTTAATTTTTGATTAGCTTGAGAATATTTGATATTTCTGTTATCTTTTAATTCAACGCCGCCATGTTTTTCTTCATTATTTGATGGAATTTCTATATCCTATAGTGAATTAGATTAAAGTTGGGTGGGTTACAAACAATTATTGACTCATGTTTGATGGGATGAATTTGATCTCCTGAAACGGAAAATGTAGAGCCAAATGGCACACCAATCGCGTTCCTTAGAGAAAATACTTTTCCATCAAATTTCTCTTTCCTAAGATGAGGGTAATGGGTAAGTATGATTTACTTCTCTGAGGATATTTTAGTGAATTTGTAGCAATGTTCTTTGAGTAATAAAACATACTCCCCTTCGGTGATTAACATTTTTCAAAGTCGAGGTGGAAAAATTGTCTTTATATAGGATCTGTGCCTGAAAATGAAGCATTTGGCGAGGAATAAACAACAACAGAAGTTCCAAAACTTGAATACGAAACACCCTATAGTTATAATTCTTAATTTCTCTTCACTATGCTAACTACATAGTAGGTGATGACACATTACCTCTTTCAAACTTGCCATCGTGTACCTTGACACTGGGAACTTTATTGACGGTAATTTTTTTGATTATTTTGTCAGTTAAACTTATCTCAAGTAAAATGTTTTAGAAATAGAACGTCAAGAATAACAGGTGGCGAGAGTGGGACAAATGTATCCTACTTATCACAGACTAGAAGATAGTAACAATATTGGAGGGAGAATCCATACAAAAACATTTCTACGAATAACGTAGTTATATGTGAAACTGTATATATATATATATATATATATATATATATATATATTAGCCAGAACAATTACTGAGAACAATATGACAACTGAGGATAAAGTCACGATATCAAATTGTTGAAACTAAGATTGGGTAAAACGTCAATCCATAGACGGACACTCACCAAAGCCCGCAAGTCAATTTCAGAGCTCAACAGCCAACCTTTGCAGTCTCTCAACAACCAATATCTCCGTGACAAGGTCAAACAAGACAATTCCTTTTTAGCGCCTATTCCTTGTTTTTTGGTGAAGTTTCAGTTCAGATAAATCTGATTACTTAACCACTCCAGGTTTCGTTAATGTGATGATTATATGTAAATGTGCATACCCTGTTATTTGAATGGGGTTCTTTCAAAGCAGAAAAATCTCTGAGACCAACAACTATCGCACTATCAAGCAGGTGATTTTTTGACCATAGTATGAAAATTATAAATAAAACTTCGAATGAAGTAAATGTAAGACAAAACGATAGTTTTAACAAGTAACTGAACAAATAAACCAATTAATAATCAAAACGACGTGACACAAGCAAGCATACAAATATTAGGTAAGCGGAGGTAACAGTATTTGCCATAGGGGTAATTCGATGCCATGTTTTAATGATAATAATGTTAGATAGGTGGTAGGATATTTTACAGCTGAAACTAGCTTTCAAGGGAGTTGGTAATTCATAGAAGCGTTATTATTTATCCAGTTTCATCTTAAATGTGTTGTGGCGGCAAAAGAATCCCCAAAATAAATAGCTCTGTAAGTCTTCGACATTGGATGCTGACGGCATCAGTTTTAATGGTCTCACCTAGCTGAGGGCGCTCGGTCTTGCATCCGCATCAGATCACGAGCGGTAACCCTATGCTCAACGTCCCCTGCAATCGCTCGGTAGATTAGATCAGTCGATCCACGATATATTGACAATATTGACACGATATATTAAACATATCTTTGAACCTCCTCGCTTCTGACTTTCGATTTTACTAGGTGGATACGATTCATAATAGAAGGTGTTACCAGTCAAAGCGTTGTCAAACTCCGAATACCTGTAGAATCTTGATAACGAGCTTTTTTGATCCTCTGCCAAGCCTTATTATTAATGTTTTCCTAAGTTCACCTGCATTTGGTTAGTAAAGTGCCTTTACATTGCCCTTGAACTTTTTGGGGCTAGCGCAACTAGTCATTAGGATGTCATGTCTCTCCTGTCTGCTGCTCTGAAAAGTGGAGGGACAGTATCTCGTCTCTAATGTTTTTAAAATTTCCATGGGTGTGTTAAGTGCTTACCTTGTTAAATGTCTGTAACTTATTTTTGTCTGACTATAAATTTCGAGTCACGCTAGATAAAATCAGGTTGGTTCACTCACATTCTCCATCTAGTTTCTCTACTTATTCTGAATGCCTGTATAGATAAACGAATACTTTAAGTGAATCCCATTAACGCAACCCGAAATTGGGTTCTTATTGCTACCATCAGACAAACGGGGTTAGCCAAGGTTTTATACGGGGTGAAATGGAAGAACGCAATTAGCTGATTTCCTCAAGGTGTGCCCAATCCACTTCCAGCGCTTCTTCCTGATTTCTTCCTCTGCTGGAATCTGGTTTGTTGTCTCCCACAGTAACTTGTTGCTGATAATGTCTGGCCATCGGATCCGAAGTATCTTGCGTAGACAGCTGTTAATAAACACTTGTATCTTTTGGATAATGGCTTTCGTAGTTCTCCACGTCTCTGCCCCATACAGTAGAACTGTCTTGACATTTGTATTGAAAATTATAACCTTGGTGTTGGTTGACAATTGATTTGAGCTCCAGATGTTTCAGTTGTAGGTATGCTGCTCTTGCTTTGCCGATCCGCGCCCTCACATCTGCATCTGATCCACCGTGTTCATCAATGATGCTGCCCAGATATGTAAAGGTTTCCACATCCTCCAAAGCATCTCCGTCAAGTGTAATTTGATTGGTGCATATTGTATTGTATCGAAGAGTCTTGCTTTTCCCTTTGTTTATATTGAGACCTACTGCTGCTGAGGCTGCTGCTACACTGGTCGTCTTCTCCTGCACTTGTTGTTGCGTTTGTGATAGAAGAGCCAGATCATCCGCGAAGTCTAAATCGTCAAGCTGCATCCTGCCTGTCCACTGTATCCCGTGCTTTCCTCCAGATGTTGACGTCTTCATGATCCAGTCTATAATCAGGAGAAAGAGAAACGGTGAGAGTAAGCAACCTTGTCTAACATCGGTCTTTACTTCAAACGAGTCGGTGAGTTGTCCTCCGTGGACGATTTGGCAGTTTAGTCCACCATAGGAGTTCCGTATGATATTTACTATCTTCTCAGGCACACCGTAGTGTCGAAGAAGCCTCCATAGTGTCGTCCTGTCCATGCTATCAAATGCTTTCTCGTAGTCGATGAAGTTGATGAAGAGTGATGAATTCCATTCGATTGATTGTTCCACAATGATACGTAGAGTTGCGATTCGATCTGTGCACGATCTATCCTTACGAAATCCAGCTTGTTGATCTCGAAGTTGGGCGTCCACGGAATCCTTCATCCTGTTTAACAATACTCTGTTGGAGACTTTTCCTGGTATTGAGAGAAGAGTGATGCCCCTGTAGTTGTCGCATTTGCTGAGATCGCCTTTCCTTGGTATCTTGATGAGAAGTCCTTTTTTCCAGTCTTTTGGTACTTGTTCTTCATCCCATATCTTACTGAAGAGGATGTGGAGTATCTTGGCAGTTGCTGTTACATTTGCTTTCAGTGCCTCTGCCGGGATGTTGTCTGGTCCCGCTGCTTTGCCACTCTTGACTTGTCTAATGGCCATGCTGATCTCTTCAATTGTTGGTGGGCCGACATCGATTGTGAGGTCTGTGGGTGCTGCTTCGATGTTGGGTGAGTTCAGTGGAGCTGGTCGATTCAAGAGTTCTTTGGAGTGTTCTACTCACCTTCTTTTGGCCCAGAACCTCTTGACATGTTGAAACGGCTGCCTCCTTGATACCTTTCCAGTTGCTCTCTATTGTAGTCCCCTCTCCATTGAGTAGATCATGAAAGGCCTCGAACCTGTTGCTGAGGGCTATGTTGAATTTGTTGAGTTTTTCAGCATCTCGAAGAAAGGCCGTATTAAACTTTTGTGATGTTGTCCGCGCCGTTGTCCAGTGCTTCTTGAGTTTTAGTTTCATGTTGGCGACCAGCAAATGATGATCGGATGCTATATCAGCTCCTCTTCTGGTTCTCACATCCTCCATCGTCCTCCTGAATATCTTAATAATTATTTTTGTGAAATTTATATAAACTCCTTGTAAATAAAATGTTTGATTATTCACATAATTTGGCAGGTACACAGAAAGAAACATCTACACACAGAGATACTCACACTTTGTACACTTGATATTCATGAACGAGGAAATTTTCAACTTTTGTACCAGTTGAAGGGTTGTTTGTGGAGATTCTTAGTAATTTTTATATATATATATAGTTGAAATCATGATTCAATTGAAGCTAGACCACTATGGAAATCCTAGAAGCAATGGATGGACGTTTCGTCCTATTGTGGGACTAAACGTTTTATTCATTTAATAGACATTTGGAGCTATTCACAAAAGCCCCTTCTGATAATTCATTTAATTAATTATTGAACAATAATGATAGTTTACTAATTCATGAAAATATGTAACTGTCAATTTAACTTCTCATGTCTAGATCCAATTTTTTTCTTTTTGTCGTATACAAAAAAATTAGTCTACTTATTTGTGTGTTATAATTGTATAGGATTGATGAAATTAAGGATAAGAATTATTCAATGAAAATATACTGAATTAATTAATAAGACAGATTATCTATTGAGTATATAGGATTAACTAACTCCGCCTGTAGCTCCTCTGGGGGTTACTGCCAGTCCCAAGCCCGGGTAAAGGAGGAGGGTTTGGCATGGGGTTAGCGACCCCATACCGTAGAAAATCAACTCGCTAAAAAACGCTAACCAGAAAAAATCATTCAAACCTTTCAAACTCTGCCCTGGGAGTAGAAGGAATAATTATGACATCTCATGATGAAAGCCGAGTTCCTTCGGAAGTCATGAGGCCGATGCACCTTCTTACAACCAGAGCAACAATTTTTATAGGTACATGGAATGTCCAGACAATGTGGGAGACCGGAAGAGTCTTCCACATTGCTGCAGAAATGAGAAAATACAACCTGGAGGTGCTTGGAACCAGTGAAACGCATTGGACGCAGGTTGGACAACAACGACTGTCTTCAGGAGAACTTCTGTTATACTCCGGTCATGAAGAAGAAAATGCCCCACATACACAAGGAGTTGCATTGATGCTGTCCAGAAAAGCACAAAATGCACTTATTGGATGGGAATCTCATGGACCAAGGATCATCAAAGCCTCCGTCAAGACAAAGAGAGAGGGCATTACAATGAACGTCATCCAATGCTATGCGCCTACCAATGACTACGATGAAGACGCTAAAGACCAATTCTATGATAGGCTGCAGTCGATCTTCGAAAAGTGTCCAACCAAGGACCTGACAATTCTGATGGGAGATCTCAATGCTAAGGTTGGAATGGACAACACT